ATTTTTAAACATTTTGAATGTATTTTAAAGAAATTTTAAACTTGTCAAAAAGCTGTTGTTATTGTCAGTAATATGAAGAGCAGCTTCTGGTTGCAAAAGTTTAAAAATGCTATATTTTCATTTGTACTTTATCAAATTATTATGATAAATTTGTATGTTAGTTATGATAGTTTAGTTATAATGCAAATACAATAAAAATTAAACCAAGTTTCAGAATAATTATCATTTTGATCCATGCATTGGTAATGTCTGACTGGGTCTCGTGCCACTTTATGTTCAACAAATTGGGCCCCGAGGTCAAAAAAAGTTTAAGAACCCCTGGATTAGAGCTTTTGAAGAAATGTAGGTATTTCAATCACTGAACTCGGGTGTGTTAGAGAAAAGAAACAAGTGCTGTGGTTGTAAAACAGCTCCAGTCTTGGATCTGATGCCACCAAGCACTGAAGACTTCTGATAAGCCTATTCTAGTCTGGACAACATTTTTTGCATAAAACGGCTACAAAAATCTGTAACTGGAGTTATTTTAAGACAACAGCAATCGAAGCCTTTCAGACTAGCTTTTRGCTTAAGTAGAATTCAAAACATTTCTCCAGACTGACATCCAGAGACATCTACTAAAGCCAAGATTCATTTCTCTTTGGAGGGTTTCAGGGTCAGAGTTTATTATAAGCTGAATTCATTATTATAGAGAAGTTGTCAGTGTTTTGCAGAGTGTCTGCTCAGAGCAGAACTCCCGTGTTTGTTTTGATATCAGCCCAAGGTTGTACGCTGAGGTCTGTGCTGCTGAGCGCTGAATGTACCTGATTGGAGTTAGAAGACTGAAAATAAAGTTTTGAAGAAGAAAAACAGCTGATTCCTGTTTATTCGGCATACCATTTTGAACAACGCATTTTTCCAACAATTTGGTGACCCCGACGTGATGTGTGATCTTGAATAAGCAGAGAACAATGGATTTTATTTTTGGCTGTTTAAGAACCTGAGAAGATTTTTGAAACATCATCTGCTGAGAGTGAGTACAGAAAAGCTTCAAGATGCCTCCTTTGTTTTCCAAAGAGGATTTCTGCCAGCTTCTCCAAAAGGTGACGGTGTTGGAGCTCAAGATTCATCGTCTGGAAGCGATGAATGCTTTGGAGAACTCAACATGTGTTAAAATGGGTGAGAAGGCTGAGATGAGAGATCCACTGGACAAGGAGATGGAAGCTGCTTCTGAGAGTAAARCTGTATGGAACTCTTGGTGCCAGACCAAAAAATCTCTCAGGAAGGATTCAGCTCTTAGATGACATCGAATGGCCAGAATTACAGAGAAATGTTTTCTCTCCACCTGCAAGGAGAAKAAAGCAGCGACAGGCTGTAATCAAAACACCTGATAACAGCCAGAGAAATGAAGCAGTGTTTCTTCAAAGCAGATTCACACCACTGGAAGAAACTGAGTCTGAACAAAGTTCACTATCTGATCTCAGAGAGGGACCTGAGACCAGATCCAGATCCAGCTCAAAGCCAAAGCAAGTCCGAAGAGATACTTTCAAGAACCAAGAAATGCTGATCATCACAGATGATGAGCAGGTGATCAGGTGAATGAGATCAGAGGCTTCTGGAACAAGAAAAAAGTCAAAGTTCTGAGTTTTGCTGATAAAGTGTCTGACCTCACAGAGAAGGTTCTGGAAATCTCAGAATATCCAACTCTGAAGACTCTCATCATTCATACAGGAAGTGATGAAGTTATGAATCGACAGTCAGAAATCCTGAAGAAGGATTTTATTCAGCTGCTGAATGCAGTTAAAAATCTCAACATGGATGTATTCATCAGTGGGCCCATTCCTACAGCCAGAGGAGGAGCTGAGAGGTTCAGCAGAATGTTGGCTCTTAATGTTTTTTTGGAAAAGTCCTGTGTTGACCACTCTGTGAGTTTTGTGGATAATTTTGATCTCTTCTGGGTAAGAAAACATCTCTTCAAGTCTGATGGAATGACTTTGAACCGACATGGATCAGAGCTGTTAGCTTCAAACATGAAGTATTTCCTGAACTAATTTCCGGCTGGAACCAAACGACAGGAGAGTGATCAGCTGATGTCTGATGCTACGTTCACACCAAACGCGTTTTGAGAGGCCAAAAAGCGCAAAACGTCGCTCACTGGACGCTCTATAGAACGCACTAGTGTTCAGACCAGAACAAGCAGCGGCAGCAGCGAGGTGTGGGAGGAG